GGGTACTGGATGTATGCATATTGGAATACAGGGCACATGTTATGTTGGGGTACGGGGGTATACTATATAAGGCTATATTGGGGTACAGGGGCCATATGTTGGGGTACTGGAAGTATGCATAGTGGGGTACAGGGGACATGTTATGTTGGGGCACAGGGGGCATATTATGTTGGGGTACTGGATATATGCATATTGGGACACAGGGCACATGTTATGTTGGGGTACGGGGGTATACTATATAAGGCTATATTGGGGTACAGGGGCCATATGTTGAATACTGGAAGTATGCATAGTGGGGTACAGGGGGTATACTATAAATAAGGCTCTATTGGGGTACAGGGGCCATGTTATGTTGGGGTATACTATATATGCCTACATTGTATATTGGGGTACAGGGGCCATGTTATGTTGGGGTACTGGAAGTATGTATATTGGGGTACAGGGGGTATACTATATATAAGGCTCTATTGGGGTACAGGGGCCATGTTATGTTGGGGTGCTGTAAGTATGTATATTGGGGTACGGGGGGCATAATATGTTGGGGTACAATAGTAAGTCACATGCTAGGTATTTCACAAAGAGCAGAGCCCTGATCAGTCGCTATAGGAACGCAGCCTTCCCGGGAGGAGCCACCACAGGGATGAACTGTCAGTGAGCCAAATGTCTTCTCCGGTGGGCGTGACCGCAGGGGGGGGGGTCTTCATTCCGCCATGTTTGTAGAGGGCAGGGTCTCCTCTCCCGTGACCACAGCTGGCATGGTAACTCCGCCCCGCCTTCCTCGGTCACGTGTCCCTCCGGCTTTTCTTTTCTCCCCGCCACTTCCGCTTCCGGTCCGCTGCATTAGAGAGCCGGGAGCCGCACACAGCCCGCACGTGTCCAGAGATGGGAGCCTACCTGTCCCAGCCTAACACCGACAAGAGCTCCGGGGAGGGGGGCAGCGGAGGGGTCTGCTACGGCTACTCCGCCATGCAGGGCTGGAGGGTGTCCATGGAGGTGAGTGATCACCCATCCCCCTCCCACCCACCTACCTGTATATGCCATCCCCCTCCATTAGCTACATACCCACCTACCTGTATATATGCCATCATCTATATACCCATCCTCCTACCTGTATCACCTATATACCTACCTGTATATACACCCATCCCTCTCCCCCCACCTACCTACCTGTGTATACCATCCCCCTCAATTATCTACATGCCCACCTACCTGCATATACCACCACCTATATACCTACCCATCCCCCTGCCTGTATATATCACCCCTTTCCCATTATATACATACCTACCTGTATATTCCATCCCCCCACCTACCTACCTATGTGTGTGTGTATTTATATCCCCCACCTACCTAACTGTATACCTACCACTACCTACTTGACTGTCTATAACACCATCACCCACCCATTATACACTGCTCAACAAAATGACAGGCAGACTTTGTAATCAGAGTGTAGCATCAAGTCACTGAACCTCCTGTGATATGGATCTGGTCAGGTAAGTAGCAGAGGGGGTTGTTCATCAGTTTCAGCTGGTTTGGTGTAAATGAAATTAACAACAGGTGCACTAGATGGGAAACAATGAGACAACCCCCAAAACAGGAATGGTTTTACAGGTGGAGGCCACTGACATTTTTTTCCCTGCTCATCTTTTCTGACTGGTTTTCACTAGTTTTGCATTTGGCTAGGGTCAGTGTCACTACTGGTAGCATGAGGCCATACCTGGACCCTACAGAGGTTGTATGGGGAGTCCAACTCCTCCAGGATGGCACATCAATACGTGCCATTGCCAGAAGGTTTGCTGTGTCTCCCAGCACAGTCTCAAGAGCATGGAGGAGATTCCAGGAGACAGGCAGGTACTCTAGGAGAGCTGGACAGGGCCGTAGAAGGTCCTTAACCCATCAGCAGGACCGGTATCTGCTCCTTTGTGCAAGGAGGAACAGGATGAGTCCTGCCAGAGCCCTACAAAATTACCTCCAGCAGGCCACTGGTGTGAATGTCTCTGACCAAACCATCAGAAACAGACTTCATGAGGGGGGCCTGAGGGCCCGACGTCCTCTAGTGGGCCCTGTACTCACTGCCCGGCATCATAGAGCTGGATTGGCATTTGCCATTGAACACCAGAATTGTCAGGTCCACCACTGGCGCCCTGTGCTTTTCACAGATGAGAGCAGGTTCACCTTGAGCACATGTGACAGACATGAAAGGGTCTGGAGAAGCCGTGGAGAATATTATGCTGCCTGTAACATCGTTCAGCATGACTGTTTTGGTGGTGGGTCAGTGATGGTCTGGGGAGAGGCATATCCATGGAGGGACGCACAGACCTCTACAGGCTAGACAATGCCACCCTGACTGCCATTAGGTATCAGGATGAAATCCTTGGACCCGTTGTCAGACCCTATACTGGTGCAGTGGGTCCTGGGTTCCTCATGGTGCACAACAATGCCAAACCTCATGTGGCGAGAGTATGCAGACAGTTCCTGAAGGATGAAGGAATTGATGCCATTGAATCACCACAACCCTCCCCTGACCTAAATCCAATAGAACACCTCTGTAATGTCATGTTTCGGTCCATCGGACACCTCCAGGTTGCACCTCAGACTGCCCAGGAGCTCAGTGATGCTCTGGTCCAGATCTGGGAGGAAATACCGCAGGACACCATCTGTCGTCTCATTAGGAGCATTCCCCGACATTGTCAGGAATGTATACAAGTATGTGGGGGCCATACAAACTACTGAGGACCATTCTGAGTTGCAATTAATTTTCAGCAAAATGGACTCGCCTGCTGCGTCGTTTTTTCACTTTGATTTTTGGGGTGTCTTTGAATTCAGTCCTCTGTAGTCGATCATTTTCATTTCCATCAAAAGATGGGACATCCTTACGTTCCTAACACATTACCCGTCCATACCAATATAGAGATCCAGCAGGAGATTTTTCCCCATTGAGATCTGATGGGTTTTCAAAGTCTTCCTTTAAATTTGTTGAGCAGTGTATATATTTGACTTGTATATTTATCAATTTGCGAAATTCAGTGAGAGAACAGAAGAAATATCTAAACCAAGTCAATATTTGGTGTGATCACCACCCTTTGGCTTCGAAACCAGAATCTGTTAATTTTGTTAAACTATTTTGAAGAAGCACAAAGAAACGGGCAATATTGTGGATGGTAGCCACAGTGGTCGGGCAATTTTGAGGAGCGTAGCCGCGGTGGTCGGGCAATGTTGAGGAAGGTGGCCGGGGAATGTTGAGGACCGTGGTCGGGCAATGTTGAGCATAGACGCGGTGGTCGGGCAATGTTGAGGAGCGTAGCCGGGGTGGTCGGGCAATGTTGAGGAGCGTAGCCGGGGTGGCCGGGGTGGTCGGGCAATGTTGAGGAGCGTGGTCGGGCAATGTTGAGGAGCGTAGCCGGGGTAGCCGGGGTCAGGCAAAGAAACTTAATGCAGCAGAGGAAAGACACGTCAGGCTCTCTTCCCTTCAACATCGGAATATGTCCATCATTGCCATCACTGCAGAACTGGCAGAAATCGGGACCAAGGTACACCCATCTACTGTCAGGCCAGAAGTGTTCTTCATGAAGGAAATGCGTCCAAAAAGCAATTCCTCCAACATGGAAACAAGGCTAAGCAACTCAACTATGCACAACGTAACATCCCAGACAAATGGCAGCTGGTGCTCTGGACTGATAAGTGAAATATTTGACTGTAGTAGGAGGCAGTTTGTTCACGGAAGGGCTGAAGACCGGTACAATGAATGTCTGCAAGCAACTGTGAAGCATGGTGGAGATTCCTTGCACATTTGGGTCTGCAATTCTGTAAATGGAGTTGGAGATTCGGTCAGGATCTATGGTTTTCTTGATGCTGAGAAATACAGGCAGATACTTATCCATCATGTCATACCATCAGGGAGGCGTGTGATTGGCCCCAAATTTATTCTGCAGCAGGACAATGACCCCAAATATACAACCAATGTCATTGAGAACTATCTTCAGTGTAAAGGAGTCTTGGAAGTTATGGTTTGGCCCCCACAGCGCCCTGATCTCAACATCATTGAGTCTGTCTGGGACTACATAACGAGACAGAAGGATATGAGGCTGCCGACATCCAGAGATCTGTGGTTAGTTCTCCAAGATGTTTGGAACAACCTACCTGCCGAGTTCCTTCAAAATCTTGTGTGCAATGTATCTAGAAGAAGGTAAAGGGTGGTCACACCAAATATTGATTGGATTTCTCTTCTTTTACGTTCCATTTTGGTAATTGATAAAAATAAACTATGAACCCTTCTATTCCTGAACGCATTCTTCATTGACCCCATTTTTCACACCTGCCTAAAACTTTTGCACAGTATTACACTACCCTCACCTCCCTACATATATGCACACACCACCCCACTAGGTACATACCTATCTATACCCCATTCCCGCCCACCACCTACCTATTATATGTGTAACCCCTCCACCTACCTACCTGTGTATATATACCGCTTGCATACCTATATCCCACCCCACCTACCTATTATATGTACATCACCTACCTCCTCACCTAGCTATATATACACCATCTACATACCCACCCCTCTTTCCACACACACTCACACCCCTACCTGTATATATCCACACTTACCCGGCCTATCTGCACCAATACCCCCTTCCCGCCTTCTTATAAATATACCCACCTATATCCCATTTTGAGTATAGACCCTGGATCTCCCCTCCCCCACATTCATACCCCCACTGTATTGTTGGCCATACAGAGACCACCACCCCCGTAGGCCCTCACATTGTGTCTCCTCACCTGTACCCCATCCTAAATACCCCACCACACCTGTCAGGCTATAAACCCTGTACAACCTCCCCCCACACTTCTTCCCCCTTATACCTGCATGTACACCCATGTACTGTACTCACCTGGGTGTACAGTATTTGTGTATTCCCCCTCGTTCAACCCTGGTGTATACACTCTATCCTGATTATAGGGAAGAATTGTTCATCTTCTTTTCTTTCTACAGGACGCCCACAACTGCATCCCGGAGCTGGACGGTGAGACGGCCATGTTCTCTGTTTATGATGGACACGGAGGTCAGTATTCTCCAGGTTTCAGTAATGTGGACCCTACCTGTCAAACCCTTCCCCACTCCACATTGCCCCCTTCCAAATAGAGGTCAGCAATAGCTTATCCATGCCAGTAATTTCCTCTCCCTCTTTTTGTATTGGGGTCAGCGATACCCTCGCCCCTCCCCATCACCTAATGCTGATCTCTCCATGCTTTCAACATGTATGTGCTGTATTCTCTTTTCTGTCTGTTGTAGGGGAGGAGGTTGCCTTATACTGTTCCAAGTACCTGCCTGACATCATTAAGGATCAGAGAGCCTACAAGGATGGCAAATTACAGAAGGTGGGTCTCCATACAGGGAGGGGCCGTGTCCTTGAGATATGTCGAAAGGGAGATATCAAGACTGGGTGGTGTCCTATAGATGTGAGGGGCAGAGGGATAGTTTCACATAGATGTTGGGTGGGGGGGTCAGAGGAAACCATGTCATGTAGATGTCAGGAGGGACTATGTCCCATAGATGTGCAGGGGGGCAGGCACAGGGGCATGTCCCATAGATGGGGGGGGTTGGGCAGAGGGGCCATGCCCCTTGGATGTCAGGAGACAGGAGGGGCCGTGCCCCATAGATCTCAGGATGCCTCAGTGGATAAAGAGGGGGGGCATGTCCCGTGGATAAATGGTGAAAGGGGACTGGTTGGGTTGCACCTTGGGGGGGGGCTGAGTTCTGGAGATTCAATTTGGCAGAAGGGCCGCATCCTAGGGGTGGCAGAGGTAGGTGGTGCATTCTAAAAACTGGGGTTGTTGGAACTGATGTATCTTGGAGATGAGAGGGAGGAGAAAATGGTTGTCGGGGAATATCCTTGAGATGTTGGATAGTGGCGTTTGAGGAGCCATATTCTAGAGATATTTGGGAGGGGAAGTGGTTGGGAGTGAGGGGCCATATCCTGGCAATATTGGGGGTGGTAGGGATAAGGGGACAACTCCTGGAAATGGGTTTTGGAGAAATGACCCATGTGTTTGGGGTTTGTCTCAGTTGTGGGTGGCCAAATTAAGGAGGCTGCAGTCTAGAGATATGGGGGGTTGGGACTAATGGACCTTATCTTGAAGATAAGGCCATGTAGTGGGAGGAGAGAAGGACCGTGTGAGGGTGTAGCCCGGAGGTGTTTGAGGGGTTGTATTCTAGAGATAATGGAGAGTGGCTGGGAGTGAGGGGATGCATGCTGGTGATTTTTGGGGGTGGTGGGTGGTTGGGAGTGAAAGATTATATTCATGGAAATGGATGTAGAAGAAAAGGGATATGTCTCAAAAATTGTCGTGGGGGTGTATGAGAGGTCGCATTCTAGAGATATTGGGGGTTTGGAAGTGAGGGACCATATCCTGGAAATGGAGGCATTGAGTGGCAGGGAAAAAAAGCTGTTGGAGTGTATCCCAGAGATGTTGGGTGAGGGGAGGGTTGAGAAGATGTATTCCTGAGATATTGGAGAGGGGTTGGGGATGAGGGGCTGTATCCTGGATTTGGTGGGGAGGAGAGAAGGGCTGTGTGTTGGGTTGTTCCCAGAGATGTTGGGTTGGAGGTTTGAGAAGTTGTATTCTAGAGATATTAGAGGGGAGTTGAAAGTGAAGGGCTCTGTCTTGGACGTGAGGGGGAGGAAAGAAGGGCTGTGTTTTGTGGTGTATCCCAGAGATGTTGGGTTGGAAGATTAAGGGGTTGCTATCTAGAAATATTGGAGAGGGTTTGGGGGTAAGGGGACATATCTTTGAAATGGTGGGGAGTAGAGAGAGGCCATGTGTTGGGGTGTATCCCAGAGATGTTGGGTGAGTGTTTTGAGGAGCTGCATTCTAGAGATTTTGGAGGGGTTGGGAGTAATGGACTGTTTGTTCAAGATGTGGAGGAGAGAGAGGTCATGTGTTGGGGTGTATCCTAAAGGTGTTGGTTGAGAGCATTAGAGGGGCTGTAATCTAGAGATATTGGAGAGGTGCTGGGGTCGAGGGGCCGTGTACTGGGCATGGTGGGGAGGAGAATTGGCGTGTGTTGGGGTGCATCCCGGAGAATCTGGGTAGGGGTTGAGGGGTTTTATTCTTTAGATATTGGTGAAGGGTTGGGGGGGGCGCTTTATCCTGGATATGGCGGGAAGGAGAGAATTGCCGTGTTGGGGAGTATCCCAGAAATGTTGGGTGGGTGGGTTAGAGGGGCTATATTCTAGAGATGTTGGAGGTGAGAGGCCACATCCTGGATATATTGTGGAGGAGAAAAGTGCCATGTGTTGGGGGTGGATCCCAGAGGTGTTGTGTGGGGGTTTGAGGGGCTGCATTCTAGAAATACTGGAGGCCAGTTAGGAGTGCGAGGCCGTATCCTGGAAATGGAGTGCATGAGAGAAGAGAAGGGCTGTGTGTCGAAGTTTTTCCCAGAGATGTTGGAATGGGGGGGGATACTGAAGATTCCTCAGGCTTTGGGCTATTTGGTAACACTTGTCCTCCTTTGCTAGGCTCTAGAAGATGCCTTCCTCGCCATAGATGAGAAACTGACACAGGAAAACGTGATCAAGGAATTGGCTCAGATGGCCGGACGGCCTATTCATGACCACGATGATAAGAATAAGGTGGCGGATGAGGATGACGGTAAGTGTCTGGATAAACATGAATTGGTCAGAGGCTTTTGTGGGATTCTATTTAGGAGACACCTTTGTGTAGCCACCTAACGCCACTTTTCTGTTTTCAGTGGACAATGAGGAGGCAGTTCTGTTACATGAGGAAGCCACCATGACCATAGAGGAGCTGCTCACACCGTTACGGGCAGAATTGCGGGAAAGGGCCCCGAAATAAGTGTGTCGAAAAGAGAGATCCTGAGGAGCCGGCCAAGGAGGGCAGTGTGAATGGAGAGCTGGACTCAGAGCAGCAGTGTAAGAACGGCAAGAAGGATGACACCTCTTCTGGGATCTCCTCATCCTCGGATGGTGCTGTAGGGGGCAGCAGTGCAGCCTCAGGGAGCTCCTCTAAGGCGGGAGAGGAGGCAGTTTCGTCCTCCACCGGAGAGGCTGGCCCATCCTGTTCCTCCTGCTCCGCCCAGCCCCAGAGCACTGACAAGTCCAAGTTCTTCGAGGACAGTGAAGAGTCCGAGGCAGAAGCGGACGAGGAGGACAGTGAGGTAAGTGATAGCTGCCTGCTGTACTTCTCCACAGCGCATGTTGGGGACTTGTCATTTTCTTACCTTGGCATAATTCTAGAGGTTCATTGATCTGTCTGCAGACATTTACACTGGTGGGCTCTGATGGTTCCTTCCTCCACCTAATCAACGTGAAAATGGCATTTTTTAAACCTTTGTTTTCGTTACATGCCTAATTTTAGACTGTGACATCCTCCCTGGGTCTGTGTGCTTCTCTATGCAATGCAGGCAGATCTTGGCTGGTGGGAGGGCTGGCATGGTGCTGTACATGACATTCTGAAATCATCACCGCACCCTACCTGAGTACTCCCTTTGAAGAACCAAAAATTCAAAATTCCTTGATGGGTTGTTGTCAATCTAGAGGAGTGGATGTTCCTAGGCAGACAATTTGGCACCATATCACCAAGGGGGGGATACTTTAGTGCTATATTAGGGGTGGGAAGGAGGGTTCCCTTTGGCGCCATATCACCAGAAAGGGGTGTCCCTTTGGCGCCATATCACTGGAGGGGGGGAGGGGTCCCTTTTTGGCACGTTATTACTGGAGGAGTTCCATATAGAGGGGCCATTTGGCGCCATGTCACTGGGGGAGGGGTCCATTTGGCACTATTTCAATGTAGTGGGGATTGGGGGTTTCTTTGGCACCATATCACGGAGAATGGAGGAGGTAGGGGTCCTCTTGACACCATATCACAGGCTGGGTCCCTTTTTGGTGCTATATTACTAGGAGGGGTTCCTTTGACGCCATCACCGAGGGAAGGATCCTTTTATGTCGCCATATCTTTGGGTGGGGGTGGAGGTGTTTTTTGGTGCCATATCACAAGGGACTACGGGGGCTGGGGTATTAGGGGTCCTTTTGGGGTGTTCCTTTTGGTGGATTGACTGGCGATCTCTGTTGCAGTATCTCTGGGGGGTCCCTTTAGTGGCATATCACTGGGGGTGGAGGGGTTCTTGGGTTGTCTGGGTTCAGTACATGTATGATATACAATACACATGATGATGTCTTCTTTTCCAGGAGGGTAGCGAGGAGGATTACAGCAGTGAGGAGGCAGAGAACGAGGAAGAAGAGGATAGCGAGGATGTGGAGGAGGAGGAAGAGGAGGAGGATGAAGAGGAGGATGAGGAGATGCTCCCAGGAATGGATGGGAAAGAAGAAGTAGGTGCACACTGAAGGTGTTTTTCTCTGGTTGTTGGTTTGGTCAGTTTGAGGGTCCAGAGAATGGAAGTTGTGCTGGTAGCTGGTGTAATTGCTGGGAGTGTTCACCTTCTGCTGCCCAGGATTGGTTGGTGAAGAGCAAACATTCAACAAATACAACACACCTTCAGCGCTCCACTCACAAGGCTTCAGGACAGGCTGTACCCCTCTGTCTGGTCACATGACTCTGGATGCACAGTACAACCACCATGGATAGGAAGACCTGGTTGGTATATTCACTGGCATGGTGTTCCATGGCATTGATAATAAAGATTTATTGGGGGGGGGGGGGGTGGGTGTATAAGCTCTGGGCAGGTACGTGGTGTCCCTGGTTATGTTTCAGTTTTTGCACCTAAATGAGGTCAGGCAGGGTGTGTGTTATCTACCAACAGCTGGACAGCCAGGATGGATGGTGGGGAGGCATTTGCACATGCACAGTGGATAAAAAGGTCTACTCACCCCTGTTTAAAATGACAGATTTCTATCATGTAAACAAATGACAGATAAATAATTTCAGAACTTTTTCCACCTTTAATGTAATCTATAAACTGTACAACTCAGTTGAACAATGAATTTAAATCTTTTAGGGGGGGGGGGGTTAAAACAAAAAACTAAAATAATATAGTTGCATAAGTGTACACACCCTTACCTTTGTTGAAGCCCCTTTTGATGTGATTCCAGCACTCGGTCTTGGATATGAGTCTATCAGCATGGCACATCCTGACTTGGCAATATTTGCCCACTCTTCCTTGGAAAAACACTCCAAATCTGTCAGATTGCGAGGACATCTCCTGTGCACAGCCCTCTTCAGATCACCCCACAGATTTTCAATCAGATTCAGGTCTGGGCTGTGGCTGGGCCATTCCAAAACGTTCATCTTCTTCTGGTGAAGCCATTCCTTTGTTGATTTGGATGTATGCTTTGGGTCGCTGTCATGCTGAAAGATGAAGTTCCTCTCCATGTTCAGCTCTCTAGCAGAAGCCTGAAGGTTTTGTGCCAAAATTGACTGGTATTTGGAACTGTTCATAATCCCCTCTACCTTGACTAAGGCCCCAGTTCCAGCTGAAGAAAAACCGCCCCAAAGCATGATGCTGCCACCACCATGCTTCACAGTTGGTATGGTGTTCTTTTGGTGATCAGTGTTTTTTTATGCGCCAAACATATCTTTTGGAATTATGGCCAAAGACTTCAACCTTGGTTTCATCAGAGCATAACACATTTTCCCACATGCTTTTGGGGGAGTTCAGATGTGTTTTTACTAAATTTAGCCAGGCTTGGATGTTTTTCTTGGTAAGAAAAGGCTTCCGTCTTGCCACTCTACCCCATAGCCCAGACATATGAAGAATACAGGAGATTGTTGTCACATGTACCACACAGCCAGTACTTTCCAGGTATTCCTGCAGCTCCTTTAACTGCTTCCTGACTGCCCTGTACCAGAAATACTTCTACAGGGCGGCACGGGTACGCAAAATCACGTGTGTGTGTGTGTGTGTGTGTGTGTGTGTGTGTGTGTGTGTGTGTGTGTGTGTTGTGTGTGTATATATATATATATGTATGTATGTGAGTTTGCATCTCCGGATAGGGGGCATGTGCGACCTACTCGGCCGATGCTTTCAATCACCATGTCCCGCCCGTTGGTTACTGAGCATCTCTGACAAGGAGAACTGTTTTTTGTTTACGAACAGTTCTCCCTGACGGCTTGGGCACACTGCTTTGGATGGCTGTGGCACACAGCAGTGTGCTTACTGTGAAGCACACACCGCCCCCTAGTAAAACTCCCAGCACACAGTTCACCCTTTGATTGCCCCTCATGTTAACCCCTTTCTGCTCAGTGTCATTAGTACAGTGCTTTTTATTTTTATTTTTTTATTTATTTTTTTTAGCACTTGTTACTTTATTGGTGTCACGGGGATATCAGTGACAACAGTCAGTTCCCCCCAGTGTCAGAATGTCTGCTATAAATCGCTGATCGCCCCCATTACTATTAATAAAAAAATTAAAATTACAGTATCTATACCGCCATTTTGTAAACGCTATAACTGTCATGTAAGCCAATTTACACGTATTGGGATTTTTTTTTTTAGCAAAGACACGGAGCAGAATACATTTTGGCCTAAATGTATGACTGTTTGATTTTTTTTGTTTAATTTTTTTTACTGGACATATTTAACCAGTTGCCCCCTGGCCTATGGCCAAATGGCGCCCGGGTGAACACTTTGTCCCTCGGAGAGGAAGCCATATGGCATCCTTCGTGGACCGCACATTGCACTTGCCCGCAAGGCCACACTGTGGTGAGATCTGTCACGGCCGACGACAGATCTGTGTACCGGCCCTGTTGCCAGTACAATGTGACCTGCTGTGACCGATCACAGCAGGTCACATGACAGTTGTATACAATGGATGGCTTTCTTTCATGCCATCCGTTGTATACAAGTGTCTAGCTGTGAATGATAACAGCGATCACATGTACAGACTGGGCCAATCACAGCCCATCTATATCATGTGATTAGCCATGGCCAATCACAACAAAAGAACCTGAATGAATCGATTTCATTCAGTTAAATGCTTGCTTATAGCAAAGAAATTCTTTGCTATAATTTGTTAAAAAAAAAAAAAAAAATACTGATCACTTCCCCAAAGTAGTGCAATGTTACGATGGTAACATTATACTACTTTGGTCATAGTGTAATATGAAAAAAAAAATCTTAGAGAAAAATGTGAAAAAATTAAAAACCATTCTCAATTTTTTTTTTTTCTTCTTCGAAATATTGACAAATTACATCTTCAAAAAGCTCGCCATGCCTCTTATGAAATACATCAGACTATCTACTTTGCAAAAAGGGGTAATTTGGGGGATATCTGTACTGTCCTGACATTTGGGGGATATCTGTACCGTCCTGACATTTGGGGGATATCTGTACCGTCCTGACATTTGGGGGATATCTGTACCGTCCTGACATTTGGGGGATATCTGTACCGTCCTGACATTTGGGGGATATCTGTACGTCCTGACATTTGGGGGATATCTGTACCGTCCTGACATTTGGGGGATATCTGTACCGTCCTGACATTTGGGGGATATCTGTACCGTCCTGACATTTGGGGGATATCTGTACTGTCCTGACATTTGGGGGATATCTGTACTGTCCTGACATTTGGGGGATATCTGTACGGTCCTGGCATTTGGGGGGATATCTGTACGGTCCTGGCATTTGGGGGGATATCTGTACGGTCCTGGCATTTGGGGGGATATCTGTACGGTCCTGGCATTTGGGGGGGGATATCTGTACGGTCCTGGCATTTGGGGGATATCTGTACGGTCCTGGCATTTGGGGGATATCTGTACCGTCCTGACATTTGGGGGATATCTGTACCGTCCTGACATTTGGGGGGATATCTGTCCTGTCCTGACATTTTTGGGCTTCAAGTTTTGGGGGACTTAGATTGGCTCTCTCAGTACTTCAGGATCGATTGATTTTCAGATATATCCCATAGTTTGTGAACTCTATAACTTTCCTACAGACTAACACTGATTTGGGTTATTTTCACCAAAGACATGTAGCAGAATACATCTCGGCCTAAATTTATGAAGAATAATTATTTATTTGCAAACTTTTAAAACAGAAAAACGTGGGTGTGATTTTTTTTTTTCAAAATTTTCGGTCTTTTTTTGTTAATTTAACAAAAAATAACCCCAGTGATGATTGCATACCACCAAAAGAAAGCTCTAGTTACGTGAAGAAAATAACATTTTTAGTTTGCCTCTTGGCAGCCTCCCAGACCAGTTTTTTCTTCTCGTGTTTTTTCATCAATTTTGGAGGGATGTCCAGTTCTTGGTGATGTCACTGTTGCGCCATATTTTCTCCACTTCATGAGGACTGTCTTCACTGTGTTCCATGATTATATCTAATGCCTTGGAAATTCTTCTTCTGTACACTTCTCTGACTGATACCTTTTAACAATGAGATCCCTCTGATGCTTTCGGAGCTCTCTGCGGACCATGGATTCTGCTGTAAGAAAATGTCAGGAATGACCTCCTAGAACGGCTGGACTTTATTTGGTGTTAATCGGAGGCTTTTTAAATGATGGTGTGTACTGACTCCTATTTAACATGATTTTGAATGTGATTGCTTAATTCTGAACACCGCTACATCCCCAGTTATAAGAGGGTGTGCACACTTATGTAACCACATTATTTAATTTTTTTATGGTTACTTCAACCCTCTAAAAGATTTCATTTTTTTGTTGTACAGTTTATAGGTCACATTAAAGGTGGAAAAAGTTCTGAAATTATTTATCTTTTTTTACACCACAGAAACCTGACATTTTAACAGGGGTATGTAGACTTTTTATATCCACTGTATGTGGGTGTCCAGATTGGGTCAGAGCCGAACATCCATAGTCTGCTTTTGGTTGGGTAATTGTATAGATCTCTTATAGGTCATCTCCAGACAAATACCTCACCGATCCCAATACCATTCCTGCACCCTTTTATCTTGTAAAGCAAGGAATATTCCACCCCCAGGTTCACCATTCTGGTCTCTCATTTGCACAACTTCCAGGTGCGGGGGACTGACAATCCAGTGCTGCACATGTGCGTGTCCCCTCATACTGCCATCACTCCTCACCTGGGTCCTGAGAGGACTCCACTGCTGAACAGCTAGTTTCCACGTCATGTAGGCAGTAACGCAGACCTCCAAAGGAGGACCCTGTCTTCTGTAAATGGGAGAAAAGACTTGAGAATGGAGCGTTACGTAACCACAGCGTTTGGTGGCAAAGGGGCATTTTTCTCAATGTCAACGGTCATTTAGAGCGGATCAGGGAGGGAGGAGGGTTATCAGCATTCAGGATGGCCATTTCCAGTCTTGGCAGGCGTTCCCATGCAGGCTGGAAGCTGCCATTGCCATAGTGTCAGGTATCTGGTCTTATCCTCATCTGGTAGGGTTATATGAGTCTCTCAGTATCCTAGTATTAGTGTCAGGTATCTGCTCTTATCCTTGTCTGGTACGGTTGTAGGAGTCTCTCGGTATCTTGGTATTGGTGTCTGGTATCTGGTCTTACCCTTATCTGGTAGTCAGAGCCTCTCAGGGTCTTGGTGTTCGTGTCGGGTATCTGCTCTTATCCTTGTCCAGTTGGGTTGTAGGTGTCCAAGTATTTTGGTATTTGTTATCCTTGTCTGGTTGGGATGTAGATGTCTCTCAGTATCTTGGTGTTTGGTATCTGGTCTAATTCCTGTCTGGTCAGGTTGTTGGAGGCTCTCAGGATCTTGGTATTAGTGATTGGATATTTTCTCTTATCCTCTGGTTGGTTGGGTTGTAGGCATCTTCTAGTATCTTGGTATTAGTGTTGAGTATCTGGCCTTATCCTTATCTGGTTGGGTTGTAATGTCTGGTCAGGTTGCAAGAGGCGTCTAGGATCTTGGTATTAGTGTTTGGATATCTGCTCTTATCCTCTGGTTGGGTTGTAGGCATCTTCTAGTATCTTTGTATTAGTGTTGGGTATCTGGTCTTATCCTTGTCTGGTTGGGTTATAGATGTCTCTCATGGTCTTGTTTGTGTCGGGTATCTAGTCTTATCCTTGTCTGGTTGGGTTGTAGGCATCTCCTAGTGTCTTGGTATTCGTGTCTGGTATCTGGTCTTATTCTTGTCTGGTAGGGTTGTACTTGTCTCTCAGGATCTTGGTATTCGTGTTGGGTATCTAGTCTTATCCTTGTCTGGTTGAGTTGTAGGCATCTTCTAATATCTTGGTATTAGTGTTGGGTATCTAGTCTTTTCCTTGTAGGGTTTGTACTTGTCTCTAGGGTTGGGTATCTAGTGTTATCCTTGTCTGGGGGTCATGGTATTAGTTTGGGTATCTGTCTTTTCCTTGTCTTATGTCTCTTGGGGTCATGGTATTAGTTTCGGGTATCTGGTCTTATCCTTGTCTGGTTTGTACATGTCTCTCAGGATCTTGGTATTAGTGTTGGGTATCTAGTCTTATCCTTGTCTGGTTGGGTTATAGATGTCTCTCATGGTCTTGTTCGTGTTGCGCATCTAGTCTTATCGTTGTCTGGTTGGGTTGTAGGCATCTCCTAGTATCTTGGAATTAGTGTCATGTATTTGGTCTTATCCTTGTCTGGTTGGATTGTAGATGTCTCTTGGTATCTCGGTATCTTGATATTAGTGTCGAGTATCTGGTCTTATCCTTGTCTGGTTGGGTTGTACATGTCTCATGGTCTTGTTGTAAGTGTCGGGTATCTAATCTTATCCTTGTCTGGTTGGGTTGTAGGCATCTCCTAGTATGTTGGTGTTGGGTATCTGGTCGAATCCTTGTCTGGTAGGGTTGTAGATGTCTGTCTTGGTATTAGTGTCGAGTATCTGGTCTTATCCTTTTGTCTGGGAGGGTTATAGGAATTTGTTTTATTGGGATGATATTTAGCTGGTTTTGGATTGTATCCCTGTCTAGTAGTCATTGGGGTCCCAATGTCTCGCAATATTGGGATTTTATTTAGTGTCCGTTTCTGCTCGTGTTCTTGTCTAGGAGGGTTAAAAGAATCCTTGGTATCTTGGCATGGTGGGGGTGATATTTGCTGGCACAGGATTGCATCCTTGTCTGAGATTTTTAGTAGTCTCTCAGTATCTTGTCATTATTGGGGTGTTAAGTGCGTGAGATCTGGTCATACCCTTGTCTGGGAGGGTTATAGCAATCTTTATCTTGGCATTGTTGGGGAGGAAGGGGGGGTGTTAAGTTGGTGTTTGGTTGTATTCTTGTCTGGTGGTTTTGGGTTGTCATTTATTGCCTGCTATCTGATCCTGTCCTTGTCACGTAGAGGTCTTGGTATCTTGGCATTATTGAGGTGTTCTTTAGCCAGTATCAGGTGCTGACCTTGTCTGGTGGAGATGTCAAGATACCGAGAGACTCCTATAACCCTACCAAACCAGGATGGTGCTTAATACCATCTAAATAATACCTCAATGACAATACGTTTTCATTATTTGGGTGTCATTTTAATTCCTGATATAAGTTGTATTCTTGTCTGGTAGTGTTAGAGACTCCTTATTACCTCAATTTTTCTCTTATTCCCTTGGTTTCATCAGCCTGGGTATCTGATGTCATAGTAAGGTCTTCTTTCCCTCAGTTTTGTTATCTCTGAGCATTACTCTCCCTGTGTGCAGGTCCCTCCTCTGTTAGTTTAGGTAGGATTTATCTTGGTGAGTTCTTTATGGAGGACATCCATTCTCAGCTGTGTGATAACAGGTTCTCTTCTCCCCAGCCTGGTTTCGGACAGTGGGACTACAGCCGTCGTAGCTCTGATCAGGGGAAAACAGCTGATTGTGGCCAACGCCGGGGACTCTCGTTGCGTGGTATCAGAAGGCGGTAAAGCAGTGGACATGTCTTATGACCACAAACCGGAGGATGAGGTGGAGCTGGCCCGAATTAAGAACGCAGGTGGCAAAGTTACCATGGACGGCCGAGTGAACGGAGGACTTAATCTGTCCCGGGCTATTGGTAAGGACTGACTGGAGTGCTGTTATACTACCTGTGTCTGGAAGTGCTCAGTTGGACCATGTTCAGATACGGCTCATGGCCTTCTATGGGCTAGTGGTCATTCTTCTGTGCTGGGCTCACTCTCTGTATGGCAGGTCTATGAACTGGGATGAGCACGTATTGATTGGTATGCTTTGCCCATCTTCTGTCCAATAATCAATGTGGGTGGGAAGGATTAGCTGGCAGTGCTCCACAAGTGATCTTTGATGGCGACTGACTTCCATCTACAGCTCAGTCTGCACCAAGACTGGTCTTCGGTGGGACGCCCTGCCGACTTCTCTGTGGGGCAGGCCCCCCACCTAGGGCGCCCTGCCGACCCTATCCTTCCCCAACCCCAGGGTGCCCTGACGACTTCTATGATGGAGTGATGTATGATGTGGTTCTTACCTAGGTGACCACTTCTACAAGAGAAACAAGAACCTTCCCCCAGAGGAGCAGATGATCTCAGCTCTGCCCGACATCAAAGTGCTGACACTGAACGAGGAACACAACTTCATGGTCATCGCCTGTGATGGTATCTGGTGAGGCGTCCGCCTGCTCCTCTCCCACAATACATTGCTGCGATGGCAGGCAAGGATCTGATGTGTCTTTTCTCTTCCAGGAATGTGATGAGCAGTCAGGAAGTGGTTGATTTTATTCACGACAAGATTAAACAGGAGCCGGCTGGGGATCCTGTCTGCCTGTCATCCATAGTGGAGGAGGTGAGTGAGGACATGATACTGTGCTCCAATTTGGGTATCTCAGCCTTTTTTTTCTGGATGTGTGCAAGCTTGTCTCTCCTTTTAAGGGCTGAGACAAGATGGCAACAGCACCTTCCATTTACTGCAAGCTAACCCTTTAGTTTGGTCTTTGCACTCAGACATTTGTCTGGGGGATGGGACCTGGGGAGGTGGGAGGTCCCCAGTGCTGGAGAGGTTGAAGGGTTAAGAGGTGATTGAGGGATATGAGTGAGGTATGAGGTATCTAGTGTTTCACATGTGTAGAATGTAAGGGGGTAGGAACAGTACTGGGGTGCAGTGCATGGGAGGCACCAGATAATTGTGTGACGGAGATATGAGATCTCAAGTATTTGTGGTATAAAAAGGTGGAGGAGGGGTCAGTATAGCTGTGAGGGTGGGGTCTATGAAGGCAAAGTGGGTGGTATAGTTGTAGGGGCCACATTGGGGGGAGGGGGTCAGTATGAAGACTGGGCAGGAAGGGTGGGGGAGTAGTTGATATGGGGCTAAGGGGATGGTTCAAAATGGAGGTAAAGGGATGAATCACTTCAGTGGCTATGGGGTGATGGGAGTGGTCAGTGTGGATTCATAGGGGTGATGGGAGGGGTCAATATGGAGGGGGGTGAGAAATTATGGAAGCCTAGGGGTGGGGGAGTGGTTCTGTGAGGTTAAAGGATGGGAGGAGTCAGGATGGGGTTGGGCGGGGAGGGGGTCAGGATGGAGGGATGGGGTTGGGCGGGAGGGGTCAGGATGGAGGGATGGGGTTGGGCGGGAGGGGTCAGGATGGGGTTGGGGAGGAGGGAGGGAGATGGGTCAGTCTGAAGGCATAGTGGTTGAAGGATGAGTTGTAGGGTGTTGCTGCGAGCACGTATTATGCAGGTTAAAGGGGAGGAGTCAGGATGGGGTTGGGTAGGAGGGGTCAGGATGGGGTTGGGTAGGAGGGGTCAGGATGGGGGGGTATGGGTAGGAGGGGTCAGGATGGGGGGGATGGGGTAGGAGGGGTCAGGATGGAGGGATGGGTAGGAGGGGTCAGGATGGAGGGATGGGTAGGAGGGGTCAGGATGGAGGGATGGGTAGGAGTGGTCAGGATGGAGGGTATGGGTAGGAGTTGTCAGGATGGAGGGATGGGTAGGAGTTGTCAGGATGGAGGGATGGGTAGGAGTTGTCAGGATGGAGGGATGGGTAGGAGTTGTCAGGATGGAGGGATGGGTAGGAGTTGTCAGGATGGAGGGATGGGTAGGAGTTGTCAGGATGGAGGGATGGGGTTGGGCAGGAGGGGGTCAGGATGGAGGGATGGGGTTGGGCAGGAGGGAGGGTGATGGGGGGTCTGAAGGCATAGTATTATGCAGGTTAAAGGGTAGGAGGAGTCAGGATGGGGTTGGGCAGGCGTTGTCAGGGTGGAGGGATGGCGTTGGGCAGGCGTTGTCAGGGTGGAGGGATGGCGTTGGGCAGGCGTCAGGGTGGAGGGAGGATGGCGTTGGGCAGGCGTTGTCAGGGTGGAGGGATGGCGTTGGGCAGGAGTTGTCAGGGTGGAGGGATGGCGCTGGGCAGGAGTTGTCAGGGTGGGGTTGGGGAGGAGGGAGGGTGATGGGTCAGTCTGAAGGCATAGCGGTTGAAAGATGAGTTGTAGGGTGTTGCTGCGAGCGCGTATTATGCAGGTTAAAGGGTAGGGGGCAGGGTCAGTCTTTTTGCTGCTTTGAGCACCTCTGCTGCACTCATTGCCTTTTATGAATAAGGAATGCCAATATAGAACATGTTTTCCCTCGGCAGCTCTTGGACCAGTGCTTGGCTCCTGACACCTCCGGAGACGGTACAGGCTGTGACAACATGACCTGCATCATTGTGCGCTTCAAGCCCTTTTGCCCCAGCAAGAGGAAACTAGATGATGGGGAGATGGGCAGCGCGGACTGCAGCGACAGTAATAAGAAGGCGAAGAGGGATTAGCGGGATGTGCTGCGCCCTCATTGGACTTGAACACTCTACAGACTTTTACGAGTATTTGTCCCTTAATTTTTTTTTTTTTTTAGAGTTGGTTCTGAAGGCCACTGTACAAATGTGTTTCAATGTTGGGTCTGGGCCAAATGGTGCTCGTGTTGGGGTGGGGGGAGGGGAAGGTGGGAGTTGAAATCGGGGGTGGGGGGAGGTAAGGGAAATGGGGCTCACTATCAATTTGTGTATAATTTTGTAATCATTCCATGAACCCCTCCCACTGGCCCTGGAACCTGTGGATGAATTTTAACATGCCTTTTTATAAACCTGTGTCTGCTGAATCAATCTGGCGCCGGTCGGGTGATTAATGGGCCAGTATGGACCTAGCTGGCCGTGGTGATGGTGTAGCGATCCCTGGTGCACTGGCATTAAAAGGTTAATAAGGCTCCTGTGTAAATCACTGCCACTGGGCGAATCGCACTACCAAAGCCATGTCATGAGGAGGAGAGTGTACAGTTGTGATCTACTGCTCGTGCTATCGTGGCCCCGGAGAGCATCAGTGGTCAGTTAGGGCCAATGTCTCTCCACCTTAATGGCAGTGGACATTGGCTCACCTTTCATTGGTGGCATGTTTCAGGTGGTAGCAGACATACCAAGGAAGTTTTTGTTTTCATATTTTGTCCATCTCCTGACAGAAGAGAAGGATCCTTTCAGCAAGTGGTCACATCTGGGATGGGCAGCCTGAGAGTTCACACTCTGCCATGATGGGACTAGTGTTTGCCTGGTTGGGTTATCTGAGAAGATGATTGGGCCCAGAGGGTAGGTTCCTGCTCATATATAGATAATGGGAGTACCCACATATTCGTACACAAGGTGACCAGCCCTGGACCCCAGATGAGTATGGGTAGGGAGGTACTGTCATTGCACTGCAACCCTATTCATTGATGTCTTACATAATGTCTCCGGCTGATGCTAGAGGCTTATCAGTTTCCAGTCTCTGGTTGTCTGGCATTGGGGGCCTGGTGCCGGCCGTGGCAGTGTCTGGCATTGGGTCCGGGGGCCGGCTTTGGAAGGGTCTGGTATTGGGGCTGGGCACCGGCCGTTGTGGGATCTGGCATTGGGAGCCCGGTGCCAGCCGTGGCAGGGTCTGGTATTGGGGCCGGCCGTGGCAGAGTCTGGCATTGGGTCCGGGGGCAGGCTTTGGAAGGGTCTGGTATTGGGGCTGTGTGCTGGCCTTTGTGGGGTCTGGCATTGGGGGATCAGTGCCAGCCGTGGCAGAGTCTGGTATTGGGGCCAGGTGCCCACCATACACTTCCAATGTAAGCAGTCAGAATGGGATGCTGAGCAGACGTAGCAGGATACGAGTACTGGTCAACACATTGACAGGGCAGAAGAAGCTCTCCATTAGTAGTTGAGTACTTTTTGGAGCAGGTTGGGTATGTTAACGGGACTTGTGCCGGCTTAATCTGGGGATTGTGTATATTCAGTGCCGTGTGTTTTTTAGGGTCTTCCCCCCCACCCCCACCATGATGATTTTAGACCAGTGAATTATTGCAGCACCAATATATCTATTACACTAATGCTAAAATCCAGGCAAGTTTTATGAAATCAAATACACATTTCATAGACTAAACTGCCAGACAGCACAGCCAGGTTGGGGAACATGATTTCTCTCTGCTGCATGACTACCCTACCCTCAGCTTGTGATTGGACTGTTTTAGGCGTATTTTGGCATACTTATGCACTCCCCTGTCAGCAAATGTACTTGCAGTATAGCTGATTGGCTGCTGTTGCTCCTCCCTCTTCCTGGCATTCAGCCTACCCTCTAGCCATTATTGCTTTGGCTGCAAAGCCCCCTATGACAATGAAAACATGCAAGTGGGGCATCTCTGTGTGTTCCTAGTTCTCGGGGGCTCAGGTCTGGAACTCTCCTTGCGAATGGGCACCAGTCAGGGTGGTTTCTTGCTCACGTGACCACCAAATTACCAGATTGCACTGTAATCTGAAGATGGCGCTGTTCTTGTAATACTGTCATTGTTGGCTACAATTACAGTATTTAAAAAATAAATTTTTGTCATTGTCAGTTTATAATAAAAAAGGGAATTTTAATAGGATTCCAATTAATGCCTTATGTCTAATAATATCTAATTGGATACATTGGCCAAAGTTGTCAAGGGAGCTGACGCTGATTATCTTGGTCTGGTCATTGTTAGTGACTTCTGGTAATGAAAGGGTTTGCATGTTGCCAGCAGTAGTGTGAGCTCTCTTGTACACAGGGAAGGGATGAGGGTTAGATATGTGGGTGGGAAGGTAATTGCATCAGGAACAGGTAGGAGGGATTATTAGTACATTTCAGCCAGCTACTCTGCACATTTCAGTAAAGTTCAATTCTATATTCCCTGCATTGTAAAACACAAATGTAACAGGCTCACGCGGTTTGGCCGTTTCAGCCTTCCTCGTAGGTGATGTGAGTAAGGCTGTTACCGAAACCTGTTCGCCTGTTACTTTTGTGTGTTTTTACCATGTAGTGAATAAGGAATTGCACTTTATTTGATTATACTGGGTAGCCAGCTGATATTGTAGTTCGAGTGTGCAGCCACTTCAGCCAGAGCACTGGACTGACCACCAGATCCTGTGTTTTGCAGTTGAACAAGGGTAACGCATTTTTCTACAGATATGGAGATAATGGGATCAGGGGTTGGTATGGGGGATGGAGGTAATGGGATCAGGGATGGAGGTAATGGGATCAGGGGCGGGTATGGGGGATGGAGGTAATGGGATCAGGGGTGGGTTTGGGGGATGGAAATATGGGATCAGGGGCGGGTATGGTGTGGGATGGAGATAAATGGGATCTGGGGTGGGTATGGGCAATGGGATCAGGGGCGGGGATATGAAAAGGTTTATGAGATGGAGGGATATGTAAAAAGGGAAGGAGTGGGTTGGGGAATAAGTGGGGTGATGGGATGAGGCTGGGGATGATGGGGTTGTTTGGATGAGGGTTGGGCTTGCAGTGAGGAGGTGACTGGATGAAAGTGGGATTTGGGGGGGAATGAGTGAGTTGAGGAATAGGGATAGAGAGGGGGTTGGGGATGGAAGGGCGTGGGAGGTGTTGTTTGGATGAAGGCTGGGTATTTGGGGGGGGGGGGGGGGGGGGGGAGTGGTTGGGGATGATGAGGGTTGGGAATGGAGTGAGGGTGTGATTGGATGAAAGTGGGATACAGGAAGGGGGGGAGCAAGTTGAGGAACAGGGATATAGGGGGGTTTGGGATGAGGTTGGGGATGGAAGGGCAGGGGAGTGGGGGTGTTGGGATGCGGGTTGAGAATGGCATGAAGGCTGGGTTCGGTATTGGGGAAAGAATGGGGGTGAGGGAGTTGAATGGCAGAAGAGTGCACAATTTACTGGACAGAGACTCTTCCCATACTGACCGTTTTTGGCCCTTTTTTAACAGTTGGGTTAGGGCCAGTTCTGCTCAGAGGCTGAAGTTTTGAGTGCAGCTAGCTTTCAGATCTTCTGTCTGTTGGTGGAGGTGTAACTGACCTGTAGACCGCAGTGGGCTAATAGAAGATGTCCGCCTGTGAGGTGTGCAGACACATTTTCATTCCCCTCTGTAGTTACCTTCTAGCTGGTCATTCTGCTTGGTCACCAGGCTGTACCTGGGCTCATATAGTGGTCAGGATAAGAGCGTTCATTCACAAAGGATTCATAAAAGTGCGTTCTATACATTTGTATATTTCCTTGGATTCTTAGTGGGCTTTAACATTAAAGTATAACTATTGCCTGGGAAGAGTTCAAACTCAATCTGCAAACACTTGAAAAACAGAGGAATTCTCCCCGAAGTGAGGAAAACCCCACACTGGCCACCAGAACAGGTGCCCTCATTGGAAGATGTCCCCTCGTGTTCTGCAGCACTTTGGATTTCCCATCACTTTTTATCCCAGTGGCTAGGGCCACCAGGACAAGTACAGAGGCTGAATCTCCCCAGTAGGTACCTAGCCACCCGAGATGGGTTTGACACTTCTCAACTAATTTGTCTTTAGTTGGCTTCTTAAATGTTTTTGGATCCTGTTCTCCAACATCTTATTTAACTACCTCCCGTCCAGCTGTTGTATATAAATGGCCAGACGGTAGTAGTACAGGGTTGGGTGGCCGTTTATAAACGGCCTTTCTGCCCCCTGCTTGTGCGCGCTCCTTGGGAGCGCGCAGCACCGCAATCCGGTGCCTTCTGTGTCCTCCGGACACAGTGGAACACAGATCGTCGTACGGGACCTCTGTGCGAGGATTAGTAAGCAAGATGTCACTTCTGACATCATTGCTTACTACGTGTAAATCTGTGAATGATCACAGAGGTCACATGGTATAAGGCTATTCACAACAGCCTTGTACCATGTGACAAGCGTTGACCAATCACCACTCACAGTATTTCTCAATGGCTGCAAGAATGCAGCCAGAGAGAATGAGAAATGATTGCTTTTACAGCCTTTGAGTGTAAAAGCAGTCGGTGTAAAAAAAAAAAAAAAAAAAAATCACCCCAACAAGTAGTACAGTGTCACCATGGTGACACTGTACTACTTGTGGGTAGTGACACTGTACTGCTAGGGTGACAGTATGTAAAAAAAAAGATAAATATAAAAAAAAATAAAAATGTAAAACAAAATTAAAAATTTTTATAATTTTTGGTTATAAGCTAATTTGGATCTTCTTCTTTTTTTTTTTTTTTTTTTTTTTTTTTAATAAGATAACGGAATAAATTTTGGCCAAAATTTATGATGAAATATTATTTATTTTGCAAAATTTTATAAGAAACTTTTTTTTTCAAAATTTTTGGACATTTTCATTTTACATAGCAAAGAAAATAAAAATCCCAGCGGTGAATAAATACCACCAAAATAAAGCTTTATCTGTCTCAAGAAAATGCTAAAGTCATACGGGTACAGTATTGCATGACCGCGCAATTGTCATTCAAAGTGTGATAGCGCTGAAAGCTGAAAATTGGCCTGGACTGGAAGGGGGTAAA